GAAAACTCGTTAATCTCTTTTACTTTCTGTTTACAGAAATCAAGGTGGCTGTATTGAAGGAAGCATCCAGCGACGCCTGCCATGGGCTGTTTACGAGGTGGCTGCATTGGAAGAGGCGTCCTCGCTGTCTACGAGGTGGCTGCATAGGAGGAAGCATCCAGCGAGGCCTGCCATGGGCTGTCTACAAGATGGCTGCATCGGGGAAGAGTCCACGACATATGGTGTTTAATCGAGAAGGGCTGTCTACGAGGTGACTGCATTGGAGGAAGCGTTCAGCGAGGCCTGCCATGGTCTGTCTACGAGGTGGCTGCATTGGAGGAAGCGTCCAACGAGATCTGCAATGGGTTGTCTGCAAGGTGGCTGCACTGGGTAAGCGTTCAAGACATATGGCGTTTCACTGCCTCGTTGATGTAAATTCTCAATAGAGCTCCCACTGTCAACCACAAGGTAACGCTTATTATTTGGGGAGAGAAATAGAATTTTTCGTTGCAGTATTTTCCATAAACCGATCACCTTGCTGGCCATTCGGACCTTAACTATCCTAAAATCTACTGGTCTGAATCGGGGTTCAGTTGTCCGAATAAAAATAAATAAAACTGGACTGGATCGCAATATGATATTATTATTAACAAGGCCTCGACATTTTTAGAATCGTGACGTAACAGTTACATTGAAAATGAAATTAAATAAAAAGCTTTTTTGAAAACTTAGACAAAAGTCTAACAAAGAATTGAAACATAGATAAAACAAAAGCTTCGTAATTCCATAAACAGCCTTAGTAATAACTGGAAGTGTTACCGTTTTAGACAACAAAACGAAAAGGAGATGGGACCTTGGAAAATCCCAACGTGAACACGAAACAGCTTGTCAGCAAGAAGTGCAGTGGCCTGATGGTGCTGGGTTTACCCTGGAAGAGCACAGACGATGACTTTCTTCTTACAATTTGGAGACATCATCATGGCACACAGGGGCGGATTTAGGCCGTCTTCTGGGTCTTCCAGAAGACGGTCAGATTTTCAAGTTTACATTAAAAGGTATCTTATTTTTTCTGTTGGAAGACGGTCAAAATTGGAAGATAGATCAATAAAGATAATTTGGAAGACTGTCAGAAAATAGCTCTGGATCCGCTCCTGGCACAGGTACTCATTGCTACTCCTTAAGACCACTGTTATGGATTTCATGAAAGAAGTTTTTTTAGTTAGTCTTCAATTTTAGATCAAAAAGATAAAAATGGAGCAGTGCAGAGATATAACTGG